TGGTGGGGTGGGGGCATACTTCCAAAGCAGAGGGTTGGGGGCATATGAGTTGGGGGGGGGCAAGGGCGTCGGTGCAGGGCATAGGTATGATGGCAGGAGCAGGGAGCGGAATGGGTGGGCACAGCATTTCTGATGCTGGAAACTTCTAAACCATCCTGGCTGAGCATTGGTCCAACATATATCTCAAGTGCTGCCATGTAGTAACTGTGAATGAATGTAGTCATCATTGTGTATAATTTGAACTGAGTGTGCAACATTTTAAAACCTAAGATGTATAGGCTTAGTGCCACTAAAAGGCTGAGTGAGCAAAGGTAGTTTTAGAGACGTGATTCTTAACCAGGGTGTCAGGGCACCCTGACAGCCTTTGAAGAATGCTTGCTGCCTGGAGAGAGGGGATAAATGAGATAAGTGCAGGCTGTAATTAGAAGGCAAGTGTAGCCTCTTTCCTTCCAGCCACTCTTCCTGCCTTCCCCCACCCCCCTCACTGCTAGGCAAGCTCTGCCTTGGTAGCTGCTACTCCTCTCCTCTTTCTTGACACCCCTTCAAACATGCAGGCATGATTTAATATTTGAAATGGGGTGCTACTCAATTTGTAACATTTATGGAGGTGTGGAGTAGTATAAAATAGTTGAGAACTACTGCTTTAGAGCACCCCCTACTGGGTATCTCTAATTTGTATCCATCTGTACATGGACCCAAAAAGAGTTCAGAGGTAACTAGAATGCAAAGACGCCACTTAAAAGGAGAGGGGAATGCAGACTCACTGAGGTGCAGTTTTGGGATTCCCTTACTGTGGGTTTCTGGTGCTCGCTCCACTGAAAAGGAGCTGAAGATCTGGTCCCATACCCAGCTACAAAATGGCTTTTAAGGGAGAACTGTCCTTCATGTGTAATCCTGTACTTTCACTCTTGCCATACATATTCAGTGAACTGGATTTTCTTCATAAATTGAGGTTTACTATGTTACTTTTTTTCATGTTAATCCTAAAAATAAATCTGTCTTCTGACCCTTTGGCTTGAATATTTGCTTTAATATTTGCATTTTCTAAAAGTCTTTGACATGGTCGTGACCTTAAAGATTTTGAAACTAATGTAATGGCTGATCTCTGCTCCTAAAGTAACAGTTACTGACTGTCACAATGAGGCAATAACTCTTGCCTGTATTACACTCTTTATAAAAGTAAGTAATACAAAATCTTGTATTATAGTATTGATTTCCAGAACTCATAAAAGAATAACAAAGTTGTGTCCATGGTGAAAAAGGACCTTGTTATAAAGGCCCCATATCAGTAGGTCATTCACAGCCAATTATGTCATATCCAAACCTGAAGATGTGCCAATTAGCATAGAAGGAACTCTCAGTGTGGTACCTACATCTGAGAATTAACTGAGAGCCTGGAGAAATTAGTTTACTGCCATAGCTGCCATTGAGCAATGGTATTCTGAACCTCTTAGACAACAGATCAAATATAGGTCTGATGTAAGCTATTTTACACTCTACTGGAAAGGGCAGAGCCACACCTGTCTATATCAGGTGTGAATTTGGCTCCAAAACAACAATTCTTATTTTAACCAACATTTGTAATTGTTGGCTTGGATACCCTCCCTGGATGGATTTTAAATGAAATTGAAATATTCTTCATTCTTGGAGAATAGATGGCACCATCAAAGGGAGAGTTAATTCAAAGATCTATCAGTATAAATAATTCATTAGGTTTACAACTGGCTGGAAGCTAATGGGATGTAGTCAGTTATCTCTCTCCAGCCTGGCTTATTAGTTTTTGAAAGTTGTTACCATTTTTGACTGTTGTGCAGACTATGATGTAATGCATTTGGAGTCTAAATCCAGGTGGTCATCTCATTGCAAGTAGTACTATTTATCACTCTTGCTGTTCTCGAGCATTGGGACTGAATGGGATAGACAAGCTAGGTATTGTCTCACATACTATACCCCCCACAAAGAAGGCACACACCTGGTTTGGGGAAGGTAGAATAAAAAAAAGATTTTTCCAGAGACATAACTGAATCCTAACTGCAGTGGCAAAGTACACTCTTCAGCATCAGCAAGAGTTAGAGTTTTAACCCTCTCATAACTGCTGTCAGATTGGCAGCTGCTCAGCCAAAGGCTACTGCAAATTTGGTAGTGGCTATAAAAGGATTAAGATGACCCTGAAGAGTGAACTCTGCTCCTTCCCTTCCTGGGAGCAGCAGGGAGAGAAGCATTAGCAGCCATTACAGGATTGCCATTCTGGCACAGAATATCAGCTTCCCTGCTGTCAGTGCACTGATTTGGGGGGAAAGAAGCATGAAGTATGCAAGTAACTGTATTGTTTTCCCTTAGCTCTCAACTGAGATGTAGTTCCTTGCCCCTGGTTTGATGCAGTATTAAGGAAACTGGTACTGCCTTCATTTGTGCCTGGTGCATATGCATTCTGCAGATAAACAAATTCCAGTGTCATCAGTACAATACCTTTTATAAGTGCATACACAAAGAATGCAGTAATTCAGAAGAGATGTCTTCAGGTTAGGGAAGTCCTGGCCCTCTTGACATCTGTGAGAGTCTTGTTATTGACCTCAGTAGGGCCAAAATTTCACTCCGTGTGGTTAAACTTTGTTTAGAACTTTTGACAATTTCCCTGTAGATTTGTATTGCCTATTCCCCTGTTACAGTGAAGGCTGCTTCAGCTGTGTATTTTCACATTTTGATTAAATTTAAATTTGATGAAATTCTAATTTATTGTACCTCTGATTCAGACTGATAGAAGTAATCCCTTTTAACTCAGAGCAGAATTTGCCTTTCTAATATAAAAGGCAAGCATAGGCCATGGTCCAAATATCAGTATGTAGCATTTTAAGTATAACATAAGATGAAAAAAGTTCAACAGGGGCAAGTTTGGGCAGATTTTCTATCAATGAGGTAATTTAAAAAATCTGTTTATGTTCAGTTCTTCTTCCAAACTTGGATTTATCAACTTATTGTCATTCCATGGAAGAAATGAGAAGCTGTGCGGGTAATTAAATATTTGCCTTGGGGAATTATTTGCAGTTAATTAAAGCCACACACTTTTGGTGCATACCTGCTCTACAGATTATTAAATTTGGATCAGATGTTAACTACCCAGGTTTCTCACTTATCCGTCAAAGATTGTTCTTGGCAGCTTTAAGGAAAAGAATCATATCATGACACTCTTTGGCAAAGAATTTCTGTGCTATTTTATAAGAAATGACTTTATGGAAGTGGAGCCCAACATGTATATGTATTTTTTCCCATAATATCATTTATTATTATAGGCCTTTGTCAGTTTTGCTTAGTTTTACATCCTAGCGCAACTTTGGGGTATATTCTACTCTGAATATGTTTATACAGCTCATTTATTAATTAGTATGTCAAGGAGTATGTATCTCCAATAGCTGGGAGAATTTTTATCTCAGGGGCCTTTACTGACAAGGGCAAAATACAAAGTTGTACATCTAGATGGATGGAAAATAAAAATATAGATCACATAGATTTCATGGCCCCTTGTCATGTATTTCTATAGTTTATTTTCACCATCATGAATCAGAAACACAGGGTTTGGGCTCCATTACCAAAAAATTTCCATCAGACCTTAGTAATTTTATACTCTGTGTGCAAAGGAATAGGAATTAGAACTCCTGGTATAGAGCTTGACATGCCATTGATTCAGTGCGGGACAATGGTCTGTTCATGTAAGTAATCTGCCTCAGGTTTCCCATGTGTGTGGCAAGTTTTGTCTTTCTAAGAAAGAATGAAATCTTGGCCTCATGGATGCCAGTAGAGGTTTTTCCATTGACTACAATGCAACTAAGATTCTTTCCCAAGGTTTTGTGGATTTTAATATTCATTAAACATGTTTAGATCCACTTATGAAAAGGGCTAGTGTTGTTCTGTAGCATTATCTAACAAGTAGATTCATTATTTTTATGTTATTCCCATATTTTCATTTCATTTAGCTTTTTAGAAATGCAATTTATTATACTCTGATTTCCCCCTTTTTTTCTTTTTTTAAAGCTAGGTTTTCTTTTAAGGTAAGTCAGCAGTGCAGCCCAGATGATTCTCAATAATGATAGAGTTCTGGAATCAATAGGGGTAATTTAGAGCTCTGGCATTTTTTATTATTATTAAATTTAATGTTGTGTTTAAACAGGAAAACATTCTGTCAGAGTAAATGAATGCCAGATATGAATCCTAGATTTTCAGGTGTTTTCTGAAGTAGAAATTAGACTCCCCCAGCAGAAAACCCACTTCGGCATTTTTGTTCTTTGTGTCATCAGAGTCTTCAAAAGATTTCAAAGCCACACAAGAGAATGACCCAGCACATCGTGAAATGTGTGAGCAAGATGAAGCGGAAGGTGAGATTTCAAAAAGATACAAGTAATGAATCAGTTGGAAACCTAAATTTCTTTCATTACAACATTCATTTTTTTTCTCGCTATGACCTATGCTGCCTAAGGACAATGCCTGTCAGCTTTAACTAGTACATATTGGGTGCATCTACACATGCAGTTGATGTGCCTTAAGGTTACTGCGCATTAAAATAAGGAACAGTAAACTGTATCTGGGAACACATCTACACGTGCGCCTGTGTCAGGAGCAAATTTGCTCCCAATGGGAACAGTTGAGTCCAGGGCTGCTCCTGCCTCCCTGGCCTGCTCTGCCATCCTTCAGCAGGCAGGGGGAGTTCCAGGCTTCCCCGGTGCCAGCCCTGGACTGGCAGGGGACATAGGAGTCAGGCTTGGGCTGTGGGGAGTGGGGGAGGGGAGCTGTCCCAGAGTGGGGCAAAGCCCCCAGCTGTGTGGAGCTTGAGAATACAGCCCAGGTTGGTGGTGCTGGCTTGGGGCAATGCTTTGTGACCAAGCATCAACAGTATACTAAACTGTCCCCTCGCTTTGCTTGCTAAGAGGATGGGGGAGCAGGCCACAGAGAGCTTCCCTGTCCCCCTCAGCTCTGCTGCTGCCCAAGCAGTGCATGCCCCAGTCAGCCTCCACTCCCCACCTTTGCCTGGGACAGCCAGGAGCTGAGCAGCACTTGAACCAGGGGGAGATGCTGGGGCGATAAGCAGCACTGGGACCAGGGGGAGATGCATCTCCCCCCAGACCCAGTGCTGCTCAGCTCCTTGCCACCCCCAGGCAAGGGTGGGGAGTGGGAGCTGACTGGGGCATGTGGTGTGCGGGCAGTGGTAGGGCTGAGGGGCAGGGAAGCTCTCTGTCCCCGACCCAGTGCTATGAGGACAGAGAGGTCCCCTGTCCCAGTGGTGCTCATCTCCTGGCTCATCATAGGACCTGAGTAGCACTGGGACTGGGGACAGAGACTCCCCTATCCCCTTAGCACGCAAAGTGATGGGAGAGTTCAGGTTGCTGCTTCTGCTTAGCCACAGAGCATTGCCCCAAGTCAGCACCACTGAGCTGGGCTGCAATCCTGAGCTCCACACTAGAGCCGTGGATAGCTCCTGCCATCTGTGGCCCCCAGCTGCTCAGGCTGACCCGTAGAAGTAAATTGCTCCCAATTAGAGTCTACACCTGCTCTACTGCATGCGCAGTAGCTAATGCGCAGTTAATCTAATACCTGTATTTCTTGGTACTAGCAAACCACACATTAGCTTAATTTAATGTGCAGTAAATCCTGTTCATATGTAGATGGTGACACTTTACTGAGCATTAGATTAGTCTAATGAACAGTAAAGCATCTCATGTAGACACGCCCTTATATGCTAGTCAGTCTTGGTACCCTACTCTCTAGAGTGCGTAAAGAAGAAACAGGCTTCCAAGTAACTTATTTTAGCCATACTAATCCTGGGCCGCTGCATAGCATTATGCTTTTGTTACCACAAACCTGCAGCAGCACTTTCATTTTTTATATAACATGGATGCCAAGCACAGGTGATTTAGAACAGCTGCTAGTCTGTACTCTTGTAACTGCCAAGAACCTTTAACAGAGAAACCTTCAGTTCTTGAAATAGTGAGCAATTCATCCCAGCTGGGCCCCCCAAATCAGGACATCCATGCACATGCACACACACAGCTCCCCCCACCCCTCATCCCATCCTTACCCGGTAATCCAGGTTTGATATGTTTTGCCCACCTCTTCAAAATGCTTGCCAGGGAGGCCTTTAATACTTTTTTAACCCATGAATTTATAACCCTTAGAGCATTGGGGTGCTTTGAGATACTTTTAAGGATACCATGGGTGGGGGAAGGAAGGGCTGCATAATAATATCATTGTTAACTGTATAAACACCTACACTTGATGAACTTGATCACAAGTTCAACCCAGAGACTTCAAATAGGAATCCAGAGTATCAAAACCATTCTGACCTATTGTGGTCTTTCTGAGTTCTTTCTAAAAGAAG